GTTATAACCGGTTATAGTTCTACTTGCAGAAGTGTTATGGTGCAGGAGGTGGCCATTTGGCCCATCAAATCTGCCCATTCCCAGAAAGGCTTACCTCCCAGTGGTGGCTGAAGCACGTTGTATCTCTTTACTGCCTTCTTCTTTGACTGAAGGGCATCTTTTTCTCTCCCTGGTTTTCGGCAGTTTCTTTCCTCCGGCGTTCTTACCCTGAGGGCTCAGACTGGTGTCCGCCTTTGCTGTGCCCCTTCCACAACGTTTAGGCTTTGCCAGAGGCTTTTCAGGTTCAAAATCCTGGCTGTCGTCATCTGTTCATAAAGGAAATGAGAAGGAGTCATCATAGTGCATTAAAAAAAAAACAGATGTCCCAGTATGTGGCTGCTACAGGTTAAATGGAAGTAGTGGAAAATGGCCACAAAACCAGTGAATAACCCCACAGAGGCCGGTATCTAATCACCAAGTCCCTCTTTATTTACACGTGGAGTGTACTTAACACTGGTCCGGCTTCCTCAGAGCCAGCTCTCGGAGTGAACAGGATGTATGACACTCCTGTTCTTATTTGTCAGCCAGGGCTCCCTGATTGGACCAGATTAACAGCCCCAATCAGGGAACTCATATTCTGTGAGGTCCATCTGGCTGACCTTGTTATAATCACTACAACCACCCAATCCTGTTGTCCTTCCCCAGTCCCTCCATATCCAGGATCAGCCTAGTGAACCTTCTCTGGAATGCCTCCAAAGTCACTATATCTTTCTTTACATATTGGGACCAAAACTGTTCAAGTATTCCAGCATTTCCGAAGAAGGGTCCAGACCCGAAACGTCAGCTTTCCTGCTCCTCTGATGCTGCTTGGCCTGCTGTGTTCATCCAGCTCTATACCTTGTTATCTCAGAGTATTCTAGCTGCTGTCTAACTAGTGCTTTGTATAGCTTTAACAACCATTTTTATACTCCATTTGCCTTCTCGATCACCCACTGAACTTGGACATTAGCTTTTTGTGATTTATGGATGAGGACTCCTAAATCCTTCTGCTCTAATTTTCTGCAGTCTTTCTCCATTTAAATAATATCCAACTCCTCTGTTCTTCTTGCCAAAATGTTAAATCTGTTCAGGAATTCCAAACAAACATCTTCATCTAGAGAGTGTTAAGAATGCAGAACTCACTCCACAAGGAATAAGTGAAGTAGAGAGAGTGTTTAAGAGGGTAGCTGGATTAATATTTCAGTGAGAAAGGATTTGAGGATTAAGGATGGGAAGAGGCTCCTGACAGTAGAAATTATGGCTGGGCTGAATGGTCATCCTGTGTGATGTATATTTGATGTAAATTAGATAGATTTACATGTGATATCAGTCCTGACACTCCCTGGTAGAAATTCACATCTTTGCAGGTCCTCAGAACATCTCACGTGCTCAGATTGAGAATTTACTCACCTACTTTTGGTCAACCTTGTGATTGAATACACAGATTAATGAAATTCCCAACAAAGAACAAAATAAAAACACTCTATGGCATTCCTATAACAGCTTTTATGTGACAGTCTTAGTTGGCATCACTCTCACTGGAGTCAGAGGGCCATGGGTTTATATACTACTCCAGAAATTCAAGCATAGAATCTCCCAGCGATGTTCTCAATGCAGTACTGAAGGACTGCTGTACCATCGGAGGTCATGTCATTGAGTTATAGACTAACACAGTATCGAAACTGGCCCTTCGACCCAAACTGGTCCATGGTGCCCACTCAGCTAGTTCCAATTACCTGCATTTGGTCCATATCTCTCTAAAACCCTTCCCATCCATGTACCTATACAAATGTTTTTTATATGTAGCTATTGTACCCTGCCTCAACCACCTTCTCTGGCAGCCCATTCCATATACGCACCAATCTCTGTGTGAAGAAGTTGCCTTTCAGATTCTTTTTAATTCTGACCTGTCTTTTGGATGATGAAAATAAACCGAGGTCCTACCCGCTGAATCTGGTGGACATTAAAAAAGTTATGGTCGCAATTTTGAAGAAGAGTCGCAGAGTTGTCCCCAGTAACCGGGTCAATATCTACTCTTCAAACAATATTATTAAGATAGATGATCCAGTCATTATCACACTGTTGTTTGTGGGAGCTTGCTGTGCACAATTCAACTGCTGCACTTCCTACATTAAAGATAGTCATCATACACCCAGAGGACCGAGGTTACCATGACGGACTCTCCTGCTCAGCCTGCAGGAATTGAATTCTCACAATTGATGTCACCCTGAATCGCAAACCAGCCATACAGCAAACTGAGCTAACCAACTAGCCCATTTCCTAAATTACAGTAACTGTTACATATCAAATTCCATTATTGGCTGCAAAGTGCATTATAACATCTTACTATAAAACAATGGAAAAGATACAGCTCAGATGGAGGCCATTTGGCCATTTGTGTGTTGGCTTTCTCCAGAGCAACTCATCTAGTACCACTCTTCAGCCTTTTCCCCATAGCCTTGCATATTTTTCCCGTTAAGATAATGATTAAATTCCCTTTTTAAAGTCACAACTGAATCTGTCTTCACCACACTCTCAGGCAGCATATTCCAGATCCTAACCACTCACTGCATAAAGCACTTTCATGTTAGCCCTAGTTCCTCGATCTTTTTAGCATTCACCGGCTCCCAACAATTCTGCCTGTGGGAACAGTTTCTCGGTCTTTACTCTATTCAGACCCCTCGTGATTTGTTTCCTGTCACTCTGCCCATTTTTTAAAATCATGTTGCCACTGTCCCTTCTTACTCCATAAACTCTAACTTGACTGACAAGCCTGACATGTGGCACTTTATTAAATGCCTTTTGGAAATCCATATAGACTACATCAACCACATTACCCTCATCAACCCTCTCTCTTACTTTGCCAAAAATTCAAACAAGTTAGATAAACACAATTTGCTTTAAAATCCAAGCTGGCTTGCCTTAGTTCAACCACATTTGTCCAAGAATTGTTGATGTTGTCTCGGATTATTACTTCTGTACAGATTTCCCACCACTAGCTGATCTATTGTATCTGAGCTTAAAGTTTTGAAGATGTGTGTAATGTTTGTAATTTTCCAGTCTTCTGGTGTTACCCCATGTCTACCATAGATTGGAAAATTATGCCCAGTGCTTTCGCAATTTCTATCCTTACTTTCTCAGTCGTCTTAAACACATCTGATTGGGTCTCAGTGTCCAAAGAATTTTAAGTAGAGCCAGCCTTTCTAGTAGCTCACCTTTATCAATTTTGAGTCCATATAGAATCTCCACTTTAAGCAAAATACTGCAGATGCTGGAAATCTGAAACAAACACAGAAATTGCTGGAAAAACTCAGCAGGTCTGGCAGCATCTGTATAGAGATAAACAAATTTAACGTTGAGTCCAGTATGACTCTTCTTTGGAAAAACATTAATTACATTTCTCTCTCAACAGATACTACCAGATCTGGGGAGTTTCTCCAGCACACACTGTTTCTTTCAGAATCTCAACTCCCTCCTCTTTCACGCTGACTTGTACAGCATCTGCTTCCTCAGTAATGACAAATGTAAAATATTCATTTAATACCTCCACCATGCCCTTGCTTCCATGCATAAATTTTATTTTGGTCCATAACTGGCCCCATTCCTCCATGTACCATCCCGTTAGTATTTATAGATTTATACAAAACTTTTAGATTCCCTTTTATATTAGCTATCAGCCTCCTTTTCTTACTTCTCCTGTGAACTTTTTATATTCAACCTGGTTCTCACTCGTATCATCATTCTGATATAATTCGTATGTCCCTTTTCTGTTTCAGCTCAGATACATCGTCCAGGGAACACTGGATTGCTTATTCTACCTTTCCCCCTCCTGAGAATATAACCTTGACTGTACTGAAGCTGTCTCTTCTTTAAAGGCAGTTCTTCCACAACTGTTTTGCCTGCCAACCTTAAATTTCAATTTACCTGGGCTAAATCCTTTCCCAACTCACTGAAATTGAACAATCCAATTTTATTAAAGGAGGACTTTGTAAACTTCATTTATGGGATGTGGCCGTCACTGGCTAGACCAGCATTTAATTGCCCGTCCTAAATGCCCTTGAGATTGTGGTGATGAGCTACCTCCTTGAACCGTTGTAGCCCACGTGCTGTAGGTAGACTCTCAATGCTTATTTGGGATGGAATTCCAGGATTTTGACTCAGCGACACTGGAGGAGCAGCGATATGCTTCTAAGTCTTGATGATGAGTGGCTTGGAGGGGAACTTGCAGGTGGAGATGCAGCATTTAGGGGACAGTGATTGTTATATCATTAGTTTTTACGTGGCCTGGGCTCTCTGGAGGCTCAGTGTTGGCACAGACTTGGTGAACAGACTATAATTCCAGTACTTTTTACAAAAACTTCTTTATTTTATGCTGAATGTATTTATGTCAGTGACAGAGTAAAGATAGTTACAATTAACTATCTCTATTCTGTCGCCAACATGAATTGAATTGAATTCATTTTATTGTCACGTGCATATGACTGAGTGCAGTGAAAACTTTGTAATGTCACCACTTTGGCGCCACCTTACGTTAGGGGAACCTAGGTACGGATACATAAGTATGTGTTACAGACTTGAAAGAATAATAAATGTAAGTTCATTTACATGAAAGAATAAATAAGTTTTTAAAAAAAAAGTACTCGAATTATAGTATTTCCACCAAGTCTGTGCCAGCACTGAACCTCCAGAGAGCCCAGGCCATGTAAAAACTAATGATACAACAATCACTGTCCCCTAAATGCTGCATCTCCACCTGCAAGTTCCCCTCCAAACCACTCACCATCAGACTTAGAAAATATCTCTGCTCCTCCAGTGTCGCTGAGTCAAAATCCTGGAATTCCATCCCAAGTAAGCATTGAGAATCTACCTACAGCACGTGGGCTACAACGGTTCAAGAAGGTAGCTCACCACCACTATCTCAAGGGCAATTACAATGGGTAATAAACGCTGATCTAGCCAGTGACATTCACATCCCAAAAATGAATTTTACAAGCCCTCCTTTAATAAAATTGGATGCACCTCATTCCCCAGAATTGAATCCATCAATGCCTTCTTCTTTAGTCTGAAAACAGACTGATACAGAACATCTTCCCCCTTTCTAAACTTCTAAAAGTGTTGTTCAGATTTGTACTTGTCAGTCACACGTTGTAGCCATGGGCTCCACTTACACTTGTCATTGCCGTGGAAAGGCTGCCATTATCAAAAACCCCTCTCACCCCGGTAATGCTCTCTTCCAACCTTTTCTGTCAGGCAGAAGATACAGAAGCTTGAACACACACACCAACAGGTTCAAGAACAGCTTCTTCCCTGATGTTATTAGACTGCTGAGTGGACCTCTCTAGCCTCAAATAATGTTGATCTTGCTTTTGCGCACCTCCTATGTGGCTGTGACCTCGTGTGCCTCGCTCTGTCTAAGTAGCCTATGATTTATATATCCTTGTTTGCTATGATCTGCCTGTACCACTTGCAAAACAAAACGTTTCACTGTACTTAGGTACATGTGACTACAATGGATCAAAGATAGTCTCCAACTAGATCTCTTGTTATTTGCAATCAAACTGCTTGGACATGTAATGACATCCTCCAGGACTTGAACAAGGATCAAGAACCATTATCCCCCTCTTTCTACCCTTTGGAAAATTATTATCTGTATTTGAATGATTAAAAAAACCATTATCTCTACATAATTTTCTACACCAATTCAATCTTCTACTATAATAAAACAAAGAACTGCATTTGCTGAAAATCTGAAACAACAGAAATTGCTGGAGAAATGTAGCAGGTCTGGCAGCATCCGTGGAGAGGAAGCAGAGTTAACATTTGGAGTCAACAAGGTGCAGGGCTGGATGAATTGATGCTGCTTGGCCTGCTGTGTTCATCCAGCCCTGCACCTTGTTGTCTCGGATTCTCCAGCATCTGCAGTTCCTACTATCTCTAACATTTGGAGTCCATGTGTTCTGAAGAAGGATCACTGGACTTGAAATGTTAAATCCGCTTTCTCTCCACAGATGCTGACAGACCTGTTGAGTTTCACCAGCAATTTCAATCTTCTACTACCTTGAGGCCATGAAAAGTGCTATATAAATATAACCCCTTTCTCAGGAGGTGCCAAAGTAATTACAGCTAATGATTATGAGGCCTCCAGTTCTGAGGAAGGGTCACCGGACCCGAAACGTTAAACTCTGTTTTCTCCTTCACAGATGCTGCCAGACCTGCTGAGCTTTTCCAGCAACTTTGTTTTTTTGTTGCAGGAAAAGCTCAGCATCCGCAGTTCTTTTGGTTTTGCATTTAATGATTATGGCTCTTGTGGTGGATAAGAAAGGTTTGAATGATGGCAGAGACTGATTGCATTGCATTTGGTTACCACAGTGTTTGTAAGTTAGTCACTGCAGACACTGCATGAAGAGGAAAAGCAACTTGAGACATAATTACCAGGAGGCAGCTGCTTTGCACACTTCACTGGGCTCTCTTTGACAGTTTTAGTTCTGCTGCAGTCCTTCTTCAATCTTTTGCAGGTAGTCTGGGTTGAGGCTTGGGTTTTTGACCCTTTCCTTTTGACCATATTCGCGCCTCGTGTAACTTTAGGAAAGATGCAGTCAATCTCAGATGCTCTCCGGCCGCTGTTATAAAACAGGGTTATACAACAGCAGCTTCCCCCGGAAGGAGGGTTTAGAAAGGAGGCGGATTGATGTGTCTACTGCTGTGCACTGATCCCACGCTCACCTTCCCGCCGCACCGCGCACTCGCCAACGCCCGCTCCTCCTCCTCCCGGCCGCTGGGGGGCGCGGCAGCCGGAGGACAGACTCCCCATAGCAACCGGCACCACCACCACCCCCTCAGTGCGCATGTGCAGGTTACAGTCACCCGGATTCAAACCATGGCTGAGGAGGGAGATCAGGTAAAAAAAAAGACCCGGGATAGAGGGAGGGATGGGAAGAAAGGAGGGGGGAGGGATAGGGGATGGGAAGAAAGGAGGGAGGAGGGATAGGGGATGGGAAGAAAGGAGGGAGGAGGGAT